TCAATCTTTGGATCAAAGAAAGGCATTCCTGCCCATTCTGCTAATCGTCTTCAACGTTGGGCGCTGGCATTATTGCGGTACGACTTCGACATCCAGTTTCGACGTTCCGAAGATTTTGGTCAAACAGATGCACTGTCCAGACTTATCAGTAACCATTCTACCACTGATGAGGACACACTCATAGCCATAGTATCAACCGAAGAGGATTCCGGTGCTACACTATTGGCGAATGCCGTTCGAGCAATGCGTGTTAGCGCTGAAGGTGTTCGAGAAGCTACCAGAGAAGACCCGACTATCCAAGAAGCGATCACCTATGTTCAGAGCGGATGGCCAGTTAAGCAGCTGAGTGGTGATATGCAACAGCTAGCAAATCGTCGCAGCGCTCTCTGTATTGTTAACGATTGTCTGATGTTTGGTGATCGCGTAGTAATTCCAACAACCCTACGTTCCAAGGTCCTACGCGAATTCCACTCTGGACACCCAGGGATAAACCGTATGAAATCCATTGCTCGCAGCTATGCATATTGGCCGAATATGGACAAGCAGATTGTCGACTTCGTCAAAAGATGTTCACATTGTCAAAAAGCTGCGAAAAATCCTCCTAAGTTGCCTCCAGTACCCTGGCCAAAGTCAGAAAAACCCTGGTCGCGTGTGCATATTGACTTCACCGGACCCCTAGATGGTACCACATATCTGATACTGGTTGACTCATACTCCAAATGGCCGGCGATATTTCCGATTGCGCCACCCTCTACAACTCGAACCATCAAACTCCTCAATCGGATCTTCGCTCAGCATGGTCTTCCAGAAACAATAGTAACAGACAATGGTTCACAATTCACATCTAGCCAATTCCGAGAATTTTGCCTGCGAAATTCGATCAACCATGTTCGTTCTCCGCCATATCACCCGCAATCTAATGGACAAGCTGAAAGGTTCGTTGATACATTTAAACGAGCCATGCTCAAAGCACGAGGGGAGGGGACCACAGAAGATATCATAGAACGATTCCTAGTTGCGTACCGGACGACCCCGCATGACTTATTGCCAAACTCCAAATCCCCTGCTGAGATGCTTATGGGGCGAAAGCTACGGACAGTTCATGGTGCGATGAAACCCAAGCAAATGGCCTGGCAAAGCCCCAGATGAAGAATACTCGAATTTCCTACGAAGTTGGCACAAAAGTGTATGCGCGAGATTATAGACACGGATGCGATAGATGGGTAGAGGGTGAAATCACACAAAAACATGGGAACGTCATGTATGTTGTCAAGGTGAACCAAGAAATCTGGACCAGGCACCACAATCAACTCAGGTCAAGGGAAGCGTAGGAGAAAGAAGCAATTAAAAACGTGTCTCACTCGACTTGCTGTTGGACACGTTTCAACTTCCGCCAATACCTCCAACAGAGACGACTAAGTCATCTACTCAAGTAGAACATCCTTCTGGTTCTGTGTGGTTGCCTAGGAGGTCGGATCGCAAAAGAAGACACCCAAAGAAACTTCAAGTAAACCCTCGGTTACGTCGCTATTAACTTATCCAAGGGGGACGTGTTGGGATACTCAGAAAAATATCCGAAAAACAGTTATCCGGTTATGTCTAACGCTACCCTTGAACGTTAAATGGTGTCATTTCCCTATTGGTCGTTTCCCTACTGATCAATATTTATTTCGCGTGTCATTTTCCTATTGGTCAGCATTGTTTAACGTGTCACCTTTCTGTTGGTCAATATTTATAGTAATCCTAACTGTATAAATATGCATTTGTTTGTAAATCATTATTCTGCTGCTCCTGACCCCATAAACGAATTTTCATCTACGGTTCGTGTTCTGATATATTGGAGATTGGGAACAGTATTGGGGTCGAACTGGGATATCTGAAGCTAGTCAATCGGTAGAATTTAGAGTAGCCAACTCGCGATTCACAATACAAGGGCATTCTAATATGCTGAAGAAAGTAAGTGTAAACACGTTATGAGTGGATAAAAAACAGGCAGATGGAAGTGGTTGAGAAAAAAGCTAAAAACATGGGGTTATTCGTAGATTTTATTGGGTCCAAAGCAAGCTTCGGTTTTAGAGAACTGTCTGGTTCGCTTGTAACAGGAATAATCGGTAGGAAGCGAAACCAATTCAGCGTTCTAAACATGATTTAATGTGGTATTTTGCCTAATAAATCAGCGTAAATACCATTGGGTTGCTGACTCTATACACAGCCCTCCTGCTTTACCCGGTCTTGGGACCGGTATTAACCTTAGAAGAGCTATAGGCGAAGTTCCACGCAGATTATATCTGACTAGGCGCGCCTAGTCAAATATAATCCAAAAACGTCCAATGTAATATATTTTTTCTTACATCATGACGGCTGAGTTCGCTAGCAACTTTACACTACCGAAAACAATCGAATGTAGTCTTCATAACTGCAGATTTTATAATAACACGAACTGAAAATGTATGTTAACATACATAATGTAGTATCGCAGTAGAAACTGTACGTATGTATTCTCACCTGGTTTTTCTGTGATTTCTATAAAAATTTTAGAAGTATTGCGTGAAAACGACTTTGCATAAACTGTCTTAAGATTATGGTTAAATTTTGTGGAAAAACCCCAAAGTCAGGGGAACATTTGTAGAAAAACGCGGAATTCCCAAAATTGTTCACAATTTTATTAATAAGTGTAAGCCCACTTCCCCAAAGCGTATTAAGATTCTGGGGAAATTTTGGGGTTGTTGTGCCATTTACCCAAAGTTTACTATGGCGGCTTCCCCAAAATTGGGAGCTCGAGTTTGTTATTTCTATTCATTAAAGACAAGAGTATCTCGATTTCCATCCTCCAGCGTCACTGAAAAAGATTTTTTAGGCGTATGAGACATCATAACTTAGGTTTTCCACCACTGAATTCTCCAATGATAACTTTCTGTCCTGTGTACATAGGGAAGTCACGTGACTGAGTAAAATTTTGTTGCTTACTGTAAGCCTTACTTTATTTAGTCACATATCAGTCCCAAACACATGAAATTAAACCCCCATATAAATCGTCATTGTTATTAAGTTTCACAATTCGAAAGACAATTATTGTTCACACTGACAACATAAAAGCAAGAAGTAAACAGCTTTTCTCTGAATTTTTTACACTGTATTCATGAGTCTCCAATAAATTGTTTTTTATGAGTCAACATCGAATTCCTTACATGGATGTTCATCGTTTAGACAAATTAGACAAAAGTGAAAAAAGTTTGTACCTTCTATTATTGCGTTTAAAATAGATTGGGCGGTCAGTAGATTATTCGTTGTAATTGTAGGCGAAATGTAGTCTATCTGGCATAGATCTAATTGTAAACTTCGGGACATTTCCTGTCTTTGGAAACAGATAACGTTTTGCTACTTCTAAAGTGGCTCGTTTCCCCTTTATTCACACCAAATCGTAAAAAATATTGCTATTAACTTAATTCCGCCTCTTTTTCTGTGTTTGTTTTTTAAACGAACTTCAGAGTAAATACTTTGAAATTGGAGGTATAACACTCTAAAGTGGACTGTGGGCACAGTTAGTCTTTTCGGTGGATCCGCTGTGTGGACGACATATTCATCATCGACAAAAAGGACAAGCCGGAAAACACCTACAATCTGATCAACAACATCTTCGATGACACAGAATTCACAATGAAAAAGGAGTGAAACAACTAACTATCATTCTTGGATGTATTAATCACCAAAGGACGAAACTACAAAAGAAGAAAAACCGAACATCATCTACAAAATATATTGTGCCAACTGCGAAAAACGCTACATCGGACAAAGCAGACACCCTCTTCATCTTCGCCTGCATGAACATCAATTAGCGATCAAACGCCATGAAATATTTATTTATTCATTTAAATACATAAACATTGGTATAGGGAGGCACCAAATAGATATGCGCTGCATAAATCATTCAATTTGTGTGTGGGGGCAGGGATACTGCTCAAGTGCTCAAACCGAAGCAGACATGACATATACTCGCTTATATCAATTCTTGTGGTCGCATTCGACCGGAAAATGTTGAGATCATGGATAGAGATAATTCTAAAAAGAACACTAGAGAATTTTCAGAAGATTGGGACTCAAGTCAATCAGCTAATCGACAAACACATCGAAATCGATCAAGTTTATCAGCCAGTCAGAAAAATTATGGACAAATATAGGACCGAAAATCAAATCATTGGGAGATTCAATCAAAATAAGGAAGTGAACAATGAAAGGTTAAAGGTAAACAAGGAATAATCAAGGTCGAGATCTACAGGACAAGCTGTGAACCATATGTGGGAGAAATCCGAACACTTTACTTCTACCTGAAGTTTGTGCTGATGATGTCGTTCAGAAGAACGATGAAAGCTCCACGACCAAACCATCCAGCTCAGAGAATAAAACTCCTCCAAAAACGTAGCAAACGTAAACTATTGGGTAGTGTCTTTTATTAACATACAGGAAATAGCTCACACATTCTCATAAATTAGCGGCCTGCTTGAATATCTGGGCTACCTGTTTCTGCTATCTAATTATTTCAACAAGTTATCTGGTTTTTTAATTTGTTTTAACTTATCATTATGTCCATTAATTGCATAACCTATTCAAGCGCTTTTATGAAAACCCTACGACCTTTCGCTGCACAAGTCACAGAAAGTACTATAAAAGACATCGTGGTGGTTGTCAATATGCGTTAAAGAGAATTAACATTAATCGTTTGTCGATTCCCGAGCTGCTAAATTCTAAATGCCGATCACTAGTCAACAAAGTGGACTATCTGCAATCCCTACTAAGTCAAAATATGTATCATAATCGTGGTGTCATCACAGTTCAAGAATCTTGGTTAAATGATTTACAAAATGACTGCCTAGTATCACCACACGACTTCAAAATTTATCGTTAGGATCGATCAAATAGTAAAAAGAGGTTTGGTGGCGGTGTAGCTACGTTTGTACAAATAAGCTGATGTCGATCTTCGTTTGTGTGTTTTAAGTTTTCAAATGACTATCGACTGTCTAACTCTAAGATGTCGTCCAAAACATCTGAATAAATACAAATATGTTTATGTTACCAATATCTACGTGACTACAGTCTGTACATCATCTGCGCTATCTGTTTTCGCTGATGAATTCACTGAGTTCGCTGTTACTGCCTTCAATGATTCACTTTCGGTTGTGTGTGGTGATTTTAATTCATGTGACTGTAGCTTCCCTACGTCACTAAGTCACCAAAATGTAGTGAATTTTTCTACCCGTTTGGATGCTCATTCCTACTTCGTCTTCATTAATGATGTGGGTATATAATTGACTCGTAAACGTGCTCTATTGTCTAGCTCGGATCACCGTATAATTTGTTTTCTACCTAAAGTATATGAAAAGCATGAGAAAAGTACACTCTTACATCAAACCAAGAAAGTCAAATATAGGAATTACTCAGAAGAAAATATCCGAAATCTGAAAAAAATGTTCCATATGACTAACTGGGAATTATTTACAGATGACTCACTGGAAATCACTACTGATGTTGTCACTTGTTACCTTAAATTCTGCTTTGATATTTGTCGTCCCACTGAAACCATTTTTGTAAGTTTTGATCGACTTTCATCTTCACAACTAAAACGACTACAGAGGGTGAACGAAATAATGTACAAGGAAAAGAACTATAATGAAGTTCGTAAGCTAAATGGTCTGATAAACCTAGAAATTAGACGTCTCAACTGTATGTTTACTCAAAAACTCTTGTCTCGTAAAAACTCTCCAAGTATGTGGAAACTCTTTAAAGAACTTACAGGTGACAGACAGATTAGGAGAGATAACCAGCTGAATGTTTGTGACTTAAATAATTCTTTTGCACGTCATTCATCTGATGTGATGCTCCCTTTATCAACAGGTTTACATAATAGCTGTGTCCCCAGTTTCACTGAAACTGATGTACGAAGATGTCTCCAGTCGCTTAATTCATCTCGATGTTTGGGACCTGATGGTATCCCAAACATCCTTTTCAAAAAGTGTGCTGACGTCCTATGTTATCCGTTCACAACTATCTTTAACAGATCCTTCTCATCTAATTTCGTACCGAAAATGTGGAGAAATATGAAGATCATCCCTGTACCCAAGAAAGCATCTGGTGATAAGAATGTAAAATTTAGACCTATTGCAATAACTTCACCCTTCCTCAAAACGTTAGAAAAAATATTAATACTTCCACTTCAGCCTGCGATAAAAGAGCATATTTATCCATATCAGTTTGCTTACAGATGCAAAAGAAGCACTTTAGATGCTGTCGCTGTTCTGCATCACAACATAGTGTTCAAATCAGAAAAGGGTAAGAAGTACGTCCGATGTGTTTTTCTGGAATATACTTCAGCTTTTGATTCTATACCAAGACAACGTTTAATTAACAAGTTAATCAGCGTCAACACTGACAGCTGGATAACCAACTGCCTATGTTCCTACCTCTCCAGAAGGGAACAATACACTGTATTTGGAAGAAAGTGTTCAGAGTCTCTACCGTCGCACGAAGCTGTACCACAAAGAGCTGCTCTTTCACCTCTCTTTTGCTCTTCTTTCTGCGTGATCTGCCATCTTCCACAGAAAACACTTTTGTGAAGTATGCGGATGATCTCACTGTATGCATGACTATCTCTTCCTCTTTACATCCCATAGAAATGAATGAGTTTTTGTTTCGTATTGATTGTTGGTCTGTTGGTAATGGTCTCATATTTAATTCGTCTAAATGTCAAGCTATTAACTTTAGCATGAGACATGGACGGAATCTAAACACTATTTTGAGATCCTATAATGCTTGTACCATCGGAGACTTTGATGAACACAGTGTCTAAGGTCAATTATCTTGGTGTCACCATTTCCTCTGATCTCTCTTGGTCTTCCCACGTTTTATTGTTATCGAAGAAAGTTTTCTGTCTGACTTACTACATAAAGAAATTGCATGCTCTTAGGATTACTCATCATTTACTCTTACAACTTATCAACTCTTGCATATTACCTATTATTCTTTACTGTTCTCCATTATTCTTTCTCGAGCTTTTGAGAAAAGACTTTGCTGTATTGCGGAGAGTGCTGAAGGCAGTTAGCAAGATGTGTGGTGAATCCTTCGAAGTCATAATTAATATGGTTGTGGATAGATATCTAAAGTCATGCAAACTCCTGGCAGGTGTTATTTTATCAGATACTAACCATCCCCTTCTCTCTTATCTTTCTCCTTGTATATCTTCCGGTAAAACGAGAAGTAATTACATTACAATCCGTGTTTGCAAGCAAAAGTATGAAAGTTCTATAATACCTTACCTAGCAAATATACTCTGTGACGAACAGGTTGTTAGAGTTAATCTAGCCAATAACCTGCATTCTTAACATGACTTTAATTTTAAATGTTGTACAGTTTTTCGGGTTATTTTTTAAAACCTTTTTATGTATTTGTTACTGCTTTTTGCGTAAGTAACTTGTTGAAATATCCTGTGCTGAGAATTCTATATTGTACCAAAATATAATATTGAATAAAGCCAGTAATAATAATAATAAATTCTCCAGGCTGTTATTATGAGCTAAAATTAATTACAATCGTTAACGACTGACTTTGTCATATAAATCACATTTACGTCCGTTCATTCATGACGTCATAAATCGAACTGCACTACTGGAAGTCAACGGCAATCTAGCTTTTTGGACCAAAACATAGTTCATCGAGCTAAACAACCACTTCACAGTTAGATTGATAAATCACATATCGACACTGAACATCTGACTGTTTTTCAGCCCAAACTATTCCTGTCTGGCCAATCGCCTTTTTATTTACGATTTTATTATCCTATTTCAGAAAATGAACGAATTTTCGGTCTTATATGACGATGTTTGTCAACGTGTTTCACGATCCCTTACGGAAGCACTAAAACCGTTTGACGGTATCGATACAGTTGCTACTCATGGTGGATATAATCCAGTGTATTTAGAGGAAGTGGGGCGTCCTGTTGTCCCGCCAATAACTTTGTCGTCTACTTTCCAACAGCTTTCTCCTGGTGTCGCAAAAGTAATAAGGTCTTGTTCTGTATTAACTTTTTTAAGTATGACTATTCTAGGTCTGGGAATTTCTCTCGGGAGTGTTTGGAAAAGTGCATAGCATCTCTGGAAGACGGCCATGACTGCTGTGTCTTTAGTTCTGGTCTTGCAGCCTTAGGAACTCTCATTCAGGTCTTATCAAGTGATAACCACATCGTTGCGTTCGATGATCTATACGGAGGTTTGTTATTTTAACATTTTGATTTCTATTAACGTGTCTTAGAAGTCAAAAACAAATTATCTTTTATATAGTTGGTCAGTTCATACTTACACTGTTACCCCTGTGAAATGTTGGCTACTTTAGACCGCCAAATTAAAGTTCGTTTACTAATTTACGTAATGCAATGACTTGTAAAACAATTTAAGTTTTTCCAGTTAACGATAAATGCAGAATAAACTGATGAATTCTGTATTAGAAACACTTAGCACATCTTTGTGGCGAATTATGTAACTTAATAACCTTACACTGGCTCATTTTAACTACAGAAGAGAATTAATATGCAAATATTAGAAAGTCTGCCTAACTGCTTTCTCCATCAGTTTCAAATCAATACATACTAGCCAAAACTGTGGCTTGTGAGTCCGATGGCTTTGGGTTTCAAACGTTAGTGTCCAAACTGTTTAATCCCCTAAGTACGATTTGTCAACATTTGTTTCCCCATTTATTTCTGTCTTGAAATTAAAATCAATGGTTTTCAAACTGTTCAGGTATTGTGAAGGTATTATGGGCTGGCAACATAAGGTGAGTCAGGTCAACTTCAGAGGCATAATCGTTGTGAATAAGAAATTCAGATTTTTACTACCATCAAAAGTACCAACTATTGGCTATTTCATCATAAAATTAGCAAATATGGTAGGAAATCTTATTTACTTGTAATTTTATTATTTAGATTGCTAAAATTATTGAGTCATTCGTAACCTTCATATTTGAAACATTTTCGGAAGATCCTGTTAATTTCTTTCCCAGTCGTTACTTGTGTGAATCCAAAAATCTATTTTTATTTTCTAAATCTGAGTTTGGTAATTCATCAAGTTTTTTGTACCTTTTATAATCCACAAACTTGTCACTGTTCCTTTAAATTAAAACCATAGCACAATATTTGATAACATCAGTTCTCTGATGCTGAGTGAAGTGGTAGATAAAATCAGAGATGCGATGGTAAAATGTGGTTCGAAGAAAAAATATCGTGTGGTGAAAAATGGCTTTCGTAGCAAGATCTTCACCTGGCTCTACCTACTGTAGTTCAACTAAATAAAAATAAGTTTTACGGAAACTGTCCAACCCTTATTAGGACACTAAAGTATACCCACTGGCCGAGTTTGATACATACACTTCATTAGGCTTTTGCACATTTCACCATCCGACAGCAGTTACATTTTCCTATTAATGATAGGGTCTGACGCTGGTGGTCATGTAGTCCTGTTGTTTGTGAAATCAATAGTGTTTGAGAGACCTGAAAATGTTTGATTCTGTTTCTTATTGTATTTAGTTTAACAATAGAAAGTGGTGTGATTTAGTATTTTGGATGTTCTTATGTGTCTTGAAAGGTTTATTAACCCTGACGGTTCAGTGCTCACAACTCTTTTAGTTGAAGTCTATTGGTTTGCGTCATCTGTTGCACAAATAAGATATCTTTAAAACAAACGACGTGTTAAGATAATAAATGATGTCGTTGAAGTATAGTGAGGGCAACATTTGCGCAATATTGATATTTGACAATGAAAGTTTATTAACGGGACTGAGTCAAATTCATAGAGCTTCATTGTTTAAAGTTGTTAAGGATTCTCTTATATGTGTAGCCAATCACCACCCGGTTTGATGTGCTGCCTGAGACAGTGTTTTGGAGAAAAGTTATTGTCAGACAGATTAAGACTTGGTATCATCCCTTCAGGTCAGACCCTTAGGCTGAGGTATACAGAGAGATAAATGACTATATATCCATATATGGAAGAAAGCTATAATTATTGGTTAGTAAATCGGGATTGAAATTTTCAGTACAATGAAGTGTCATGTTACTTGGTGTTTCCTTAAAACTTATGTTCTAAGATAAAACTTATTATAACACAGAAATATCAAAGCAATATCAAAAGATTTTGTTCTTTGTGCGATTAAGTTTTTTATTGATATGAGATTATGGTTAATAGCTTACGACTTACTGAAGACACTTACTGATATGTACATTAAATCATGCATCAATATTTGATCCATGCTAATGCCTGAGTAAGTCGAAATTTTGTTCCCCTACTGACCACTATTTTACTAGGTCTTCAGCTTAGTTTGTTTTATAATAATTTGTCATTTCCAACTCAATAATTAATGTATATTCAGTTTGTAATGTTTTTTTTATTTGAACAGGAAATGGGCGATATCTGCGTCGACTTGCCTCGAAATCTGGAATAACAACTACTTTCGTTGACATGCGTGACTTGAATTCGTTTCAACAGGCGTTACAGAAAAACACTCGCTTAGTCCTTATAGAATCTCCATCAAATCCTTTAATGCGTCTGGTCGATATAAGTGCTGTTGCGTCTATCGCTCATGAGTTTAACAAAGAAATTATTGTTGTTGTTGACAATACTTTCATGAGTTCTTATTTTCAAGTAAGCAAAATTATTTCACTGATCACCTTACCGAGATAATCCTAAATATATGTCCCCAAACTATTTCTTTGTACAAATTTCAAGCCTTAGTTATTTGAAAATTTTATATGACAATAGGTTCATATCCATATAAAACAAGGGTTCGCTCTTCTCTAGTAGTTACATTCGTCTAAACTGAAGATTACTACACTTTTGCAGGGCACTGCATTCAGTCCGCTGAAGCATTTCATTGATAATCACTGTTTAGATATTTCTTAGACTATAATGCACGCTGTTAAATAGTATTAATCGCTGAATTCCGTTCCAATTTTTCTTTCTATTATTATGCTTGACGAAATCTCTGCATGGATTCAGAAATATTAACTAGCCTTTGCCAGCTTATGTTTCTCGTGGTACAGGCGAATTGTTCGTCCTCATACATAGTTGCATGTTGATTGCTCAGGAGTTCGCTTTGTATTGCTGTATGAATTTGAAACATGGGCCGTAAAAATAGAGTATATTAGTAAAATACTAGTATCCGGCCATAGTTATATTCGATCCCAACTATTGAAATTACTACAATCTCCACAAAACTCCTTCTGATACTAATCAACATATCCTCACTAGTGATTGGCTTCAAGATCTATATCCTGGAGTTCTAGTGAGAAGCAGTGACCAGTGGAGTTCAATCGGGTCAGTTGTGAGATTATTTATTTATTTGAACACATGAATATTGGTACAAGAGAGCGCCAATATATATGCGCCACACAAAACAATGAGAATTCGAAGAGAAATAGAAAAAAAAAACCAAGGAGCGCAAAAGAAAAAGAGGACAATAACGAAGAGATTGGTGTAAGGTAGTGTGGTAGTAACGGGGGAACGGAAAGGTACAATCAGAAGAAATCTTTCAGGTAAGGTGGACACAACCACTTTTTATGAAGAAAGTAAAAGAAGGTTATAGCAGGATCGCCATTGGCTTCTACTCTGAGCCATATCTGATAACGTCTCTAGCCACTATGTTACACCATCTCTCAGACCCCAACCAGGGAGTCGTGAAGGACCAACACAAGCCAGCCCTTTGCAGCTTTCTTTCATACCACAACAGCATGTCATGCACTGACCACCTCTCCGCTTTTTCCAATCAGTCCCAGCGTCGGCAAATAATGCACGACGGGGAATTCTCTAGGCCGACATTCTTAGAACACGTCCAAGCCACCGAAGTCGGTGTTTCAAGATGGTGACACCAATCGGATTATCATCTCTGTGCCCGAACACACGATGCCGAACCTCTGCATTACTGACATGGTGTTGCCACTGAATGTCAGCAATCCTTCGGAGACAACGATGATCGAACACAGAGTCGTCTAACGTCCTCAACTCGGAGAGGCCAGGTTTCACAAACATAGAGCAAAACTGCTCTCACCGACGCGTTGTAGATCCGAACTTTTACAGCCAGACTAACATCACGAAGGCGCCAAAGATGGCCCAGATTGGCATAAGCCGCTCTGGCTTTCACTATACGTGCATTGATCTCATCACTCACACCCCCACCAGCACTTATGCAGCTACCCAGATACACGAACTTCTCAACTACGTTGTGAGATAGTAACTCACTGATGACAATGGTAGATGTGTCGCTCAATTTCGTCGATTAGTTGAAGTTAGACATCAACACTGTTGGATGCCGGCTCAGTGGTCTAGTTGGTTAAGTGCCTGGAGTGAGACTGACAGGTCCCGGGTTCAAATCCCGCGAGGCGGGGTTGTGGATGCTCATTGCTGAGGAGCCTCACAAAAGGACGAAACGGCCGTCCAGTGCTTCCAGGTTTTCCATGGTGGTGTAGCTTCAATTGACTCATGATCTTAACTATTGAAATTACTGCTCGTATATTGTGGAACTGAGTGAAAAATGCTGGGGTTGTGCAGAGGGTACTAGGTGAAATTGATGAATTGTTTCATGAGGTCACGATTGTTAATCGATCAAGGTGGTTGGGATGTATGTTACGTATGCCTAACCACCACCTATTTTTACGCGATGCATATCAATGTAGGAGCACCTTGGAAGATAGTTAAGGACATATCATAAGTTTATGAAGCCGTTTACTGTTGATTTCAGCAATATTACTGAATATAGAATACTTGATCATGCTCCTCACACTAGTTGTAGCGAATGGTTGGAGACAAAAGTAAAGAGAATTAAGCGAAGAAAATTTTCTTTTCGATGAAATTATTTAATCAAGCTATAAATTCGTATTCATAGTTGTATGGTATATATATGTCTACAGAAAGATAGGAAAGGTTGCATGATAAATTGATTGGAGATTCTTAATATCAAGTGACGTTACGCAATAATCAAGGGGTAAGAGAAGAATAAGTTACGGGTCAGAATTATAAAAGATAATTGTACACTTTACAGATATGGCGAAGAACGAAAAACCCTAAGGTCATAATGATAAAAACGGAATAATAATCATGAAAAAAATTTTAAGGATTAAGGTTTAAAATTACAAAATACTAATTTAAAAAATAACAAAAAAACCAAAACACTACATAAGGAGAATTAGGGCCAAAGAAAAATGAGAGGTTGGGCGTATCGATTTTGCACGCAGAGTTCGAGTTTGAGTTGATGGATTGACAATGTCTCAGTAGTGCATAAGTTTTCTATTCGACCTCGCCTCATTCCAATTCTTTGTCGCTTAATTCTCTTTATTTTTATTCATTGACACAATGCGTTATTAAAATAAAGCATTGGGTGACATGATTCGGGACAATTCGTTATAGCACAAATACATTTGGTCTTTATCTTTTTTTACATTCCGAGTTCCTGTACTTTATCTAATTACCTCCCTTTCTTTGTTTTCTAACTATATTCACAATGTTTAATTGATTTTATTTTGGTTTCATTTGTTATTCATTTTGTTTATTTCAACTGGTTTTGGTAGTATGGTAACTTCACCCAACATATATATGCCTAGTTCTATGTTGATTACAACTGACTTTGTGTTACAATTTATTCTCAAAGTATTCGTGGATTCGAATGAAACCTTGATATCAATCTTAGTAACAACTCAAAGTTCAGTGATTGATGTAAGTTAGGGGCGACCAAACCAAAACTCAGCATCAGTGCTTGAAGTCATTAACTTCTAGCCTTAACCATGTTGGTAAATGCAGACTACTTGGTTGGGGTACGACTATCGTAACCAATGGTAAGAGATATAGGATAACATGGCTCAGAATCGATCACAATGGCATCGGTGTATACACTCTGTCTTCCCTTAAACTATGAGATTAAAATCACTTCATATCTTTCTTTCTACGAACTAATTCTCTCTTTCTGTACTATATCCTTATATGCAATCTTTCATATATTACCACCACTACTTCTATGAATCCCGTGTTCATCTTGTTGTGCCAATAAGGTATGACAACTTGGACCGATGCACATATGTGCCTGGTCCTACGTTGTAGCTGACTGCAGACTGGATGTAACTTATGTGGGTTTTTGGCATCATATTAGCACTGAATTTCGTTGTTAGAAGATATTCCATTATATCGACTCCTTTATACTCAATAAAGTGTTTAAATAATCATATGAAAGATCTGACCTGTAAATAAAACATTTTCAGTGAATATAATAGCTACATTAAAAAATGTCATTATTACTGTTCAGGAATCATTTAAACTTGCCTTATAACTTATAAAAACAGTAACAGTATTTGTAGCAACAAATTAAATACTGGGATTTGTGTTCACTTTTTTTCCATTGAATGCAATTACAATCACAATGAGTTGAGACTAAGTATCAGAATTCTTGTCAAGTTAATATTCAAAGGAGGCAACACTCATGCTAAATATCTAAAGCCAGAATTTCAACGTTGTGTGATTAATCAGACATGATTGTGGGTAAACAATTATTACTTATTATTTTACAATGAATGATACAGTTTTACACATTGTTTTATTATGTAAATATCGGACATGGATATATATTATGATTGGGATATTTACTTCTTGCAAATTATATATCATAAATACAGTAAAATAATATATTTGTAATATCCCAATGATACCTACAAAATTATATATCAGTTTTTTTCCTGTTTATGACTTCACTTCGGTCAAATGTGAGGTACTATTAAATTACATTTTATTGGCGTACAAGGTTGTAAAATCCAAACCAGTAGGAGACTGTAAAATTTCCATGGAACACCGTTGTTCTCCGACTTTTATTAGGCGATGTGCGCTTTCGATTAGTGATGAGTTGTCTAATTTACTTTGTTACTACATTCATTCATTATCACTTTTTATGAGAATGTAACCAGAGAAGACAATGAATTTTTGACTATGTTAAATAATAAATTGCTGGATCCTTAGTGATTGTTTGTAGGAAATTATTCATAAAATCACTACGAATGTTTCCCCTGTATATTGGAAATTGTGTAAACTGAAACTTGTCGTAATAGTACACTCGTTATCGTAATTAAACAACAAAAGTAGTCCGTGTTATGATCACGGGACTATCCGCCTCGTAAATTATTGTTTATTTGAACTTAAAACTATTCATAAGGCGCATCATATTTAGTCATACCCCAATAATTTCGAGTATATATATGTATAACAAAATATTCCTAGTTTAAAATCAGTGTTGATAAACTGGAAACATATTTCCGTTTTCAGTGATTTTGAAAATCAACCTTAAACTGTATGTGCACTTTTAATTAGTCACTGAAAATATTTTGATTTCTCGCGTGATTATAAAAAATATAAGGAAAATATAAATATAGTTTCGAGTAAACATTCATTGTAAGTTTGGAAAGTATAGTTTTAGTCATGATAAAGTAAATAATCACTAATATAATGAACATACAAGTGTAAATATGGTAGTTATTTGTTTAATTTATAATTATTGAACAGCAGTGAAGCTTAATTTAATTAATAAAATTCTCAATCATTTTAATAAAGTCTTTTTGGAAAGCATGTTTTTTGTCCTAACGCGTGTTACACTCCAAAACTTTACGAATTAGCATCCTACTGGTTATAAGTTAGTAGCTATCTAAACTCAGTGGCTTAATGAATAATCAATCCTAGTTTGGAGCTGTAATTGACGAGTCTTAATGTGGATATGAACACTAGAATCCCGGGACATCCATTTGATTAATCCCAAATGGAAAGAAATATGCGTTTTAGGTCCTACTGCACACTTCTACTATTCAAATGCATGAACAGGTGATATAAGCGTTATACCCTAACCACAAACAACCGATTTTCCACTGTTTCATTACTTTTTTAAAATAAAGTAGCAAATTATTTGGACTATTTACTTTTTTTTCAGCGTCCACTTGATCATGGAGCAAATGTTGTCTTACACTCTCTCACAAAGTATATGAATGGTAAGCTCCTTTTTCATTACAATCAACAGGTAAAATAACTTAATTTATGTCTACCTCGCATAATGTCTTCAGTGGTTAAGTATTGAATAAAATCTCTAAGTAGACAGCACTTTTCATAATTATGGGGATTTGTTTGACCTCATAAAGCCGTCTTCTTATTATGATTATCTAGTACCCATTTATTTATTTAAGATGGTGTGCGTCATTGTCAGCTACCACTAATATAAAGAACTCATTGCTGAATGATGTTAAGGGTTGTTTGGTTGATGTTTGGTGTACAGGTGAATACTTTTTTTACCCTCATATTGAAAGAAATGTTTGAGATTTTCATCCTCCTCCTATATATTTAGTGACAGTCTATGTTCTAAACTTAACGGTGTAGAATACTAAGTTTAACTGGCTGTCCGACTTTACTATATACTGTAGTTAACTATTACTCTTATCGTTTGGAGTTGATTTTGTTTCGTAATGTGATGAAGATCCTGTTTAGCTTATTACTAAGTAAAGTCCAGTGTAAAAATGTACGGATATGCACATTTGAAGTTCAGTAGTATATATAATAAGTAGTAGAAAATAATTTTAAATTTGCAAAAGAACCTATCCATATAGCTACATAGTATTCGTTAAAAACATTTTCTGTTTCTGTAATAAGGTCATTCTGATGTAGTTATGGGCGCGCTGGTTACACGTAATCAGTCAGAACTACACAAGCAGCTAAGATTCATACAGTATGCTGCAGGAGCTGTTCCGTCTCCATTTGACTGCATGTTATGTCTTAGAGGATTACGCACATTACCAATACGAATGAAAGCGCACATGCGAAATGGACTTATAGTGGCTATGATGCTTGAGAAACATCCGCTAGTTGAAAGGGTTCTACATCCAGGTATGTTACTGTAAATGTTTCTTGAATAATAAGACTTCAGACGCAATTGTATAGATAGAGGTTAACATTTACATATAATGGTAAAACTGATGCCAATCAGTTGCTTATTCGTTAGATAATATTCCTCACATAAAATCCTAACGAAGATGATAGGTGAATTTATTATTAACCGTGAACTCTATGAATATCTAAGAATATTTGGTCCCGTTATGCCAAGACTATACGGACTCCCAAAATTCATAAGAATGTTCTCCTACGTCCTATTCTTGATATGAATAGCTCTCCATATAATCTGATTGCTAAATGGTTAGCTGATATTTCAAAACCCGTCACAAATCACATCAATAAATATAACTCTCTGATTCACTTGATGTTGTTGACTCAATTAGAAATATCTGTGTAAATGGTAAAAAAAGATGGTCTTATTGGATGTCACTTCTCTCTTTACAAATGTTCCACTCACGAAAACTGTGTTTTTTTATGTGAATACATTGAAAATAATAACCCTGATATTCGCATCGCAAAACATTGTCTAAAAGAGCTACTTCTACGATGTATTCTCAACGTGCAATTATGAGAATCAAGAGAGGAGCTGACATAGCTTTAGATCACCTGGTTGTGGCCAAGATGAAACTGAAGCTAAAGAAGCATTGGACAAATGGGGAAATAGCATTACAAAGGTTCAATACAGCCTTCGAGATACTGACAAACTTAACGAATTCAAGATAACTCTCAACAACGGGTTCCAAGCCTTACATGATCTACTGAAGGAAGAAGGAACTACGATGGAGGAAAACTGGGAAGGGATCAAAGAAGCCCCATCATAATTAATAGATTTCTATCGAAACGCTGCATAAGATTCAAGAAAAGAAGCACAAGAAGACAGCAATCAACAACAGTCGATCAAGAAGAAAGTCAAGGCACAAGCTGAATACACAGAATTAAACAAGCTAGTGGAGAGGAACATTAGTGCTGACAAGTAGAAATATGTGGGAGACCCAGCAACGACAGCGGAGAAAGCTGCAATAGAATGAAATCTGAGACAACTATATGACACGACGAAGAAACTGGCAGGGAAACATAGCGAACCAGAAAGACTAATCAAGGATAAGAGAGGCAACGCATTCACTGAAATTCAAGAATGGAGGGACAGATGGGTGGGACACTTTGAAGAACTCTTGAATAGACCAGCTCCAGTGAACCCACCGGACATCGAAGCTGCGCATACAGATCTTCCTATAGCTGTCACTCCACCAAAGATCGAAGAAATCAGGATCTGAGTAAGTGTAAGAACTATAGAGGCATCACACTACTGTCAGTACCAGGAAAGGTTTTCAATGGGGTGTTGCTGAACTAGTTGAAAGACTCAGTAGACGCTCAGCTTCGAGATCAACAGGCTGGATTCTGTAAGCATTGGTTGTACATAGACCACATCGTGACACTACGGATCATCGTTGAGCAATCAATCGATTGGAACTCGTCAGTATACATCAGCTTCATTGACTCTCTCTCTCTCTCTTTGTTATTTTGATTGTTCCGTCATCTATGTCATTGGCTTCACTTTATGTCATGCCTAAATGTCACAGGTTAATAAATATATTATTTCAATGGTTGAAATCATGAGTCAATTGAAGCTAGACGACCACGGAAAACCTGGAAGCACTGGACGGCCGTTTCGTCCTAGTATGGGACTCCTCAGCAGTGCGCATCCACGATCCCGCCCCCCGCGAGATTTGAACCCAGGACCTATCAGTCTCGTGCCATGTGCTTCCAGGTTTTCCATGGTGGTCTAGCTTCAATTGACTCATGATTTCAACCAGTGAAATTTCTAAATATCTCCACAAAACCCATTCTGATAAAAATATATGACTGTAAGCAGATGGTGAGAAGCCACGAAATGTAATGAGTTCGTATTATTCTGCCTCGACTGTTGTTTTGGCTATGTTCGCATTCCTAAAGGGAACCAACTGCATGAAGTTTATGGAAGTAATTACGAGTGGTTAATAAAGAAGTGGTTAAGATTATTAATATCAGATGTTAATTAGCAAACGGATGATGTACAACACGTATTTAGGGAACTGACAAGTCTATCATAATATTTAGTACGACAGTCGAAAAAAATTTTGATAATAAATCAAATACTTAAGCATAAAAATACTGCTTCAGTTAAATAAAAAAAAGAGTATCGGCATTTTGAAGAAAAGACATTGGTATAAAGGAGAATATAATAACATTGTGATGAATGCTGATAGCTTCAGTTATTCTTAAAACACATATGCGCAAGCCATGTGGTGAATTCAGTGCATGATTTCAAAGGCTTTGTTTAGAACAAGGGTGGTACGAAGCCCCAAAAAGGCACTGTTTAAAGGGAAATATTTCTTCGCTTACCCCTTTGTTTTTATCTAATTATCTAAACAAGAATTCTCGCTTCACTAAAACACTTAATCACATGAAAAATTAATAATCGATTCATGTGTCACAATTGTAAATACATCTTTAAAGAATAAAATTACCAACGTTAACGGGTTGTTTATGTTACACATATTTATTTCAAGTGAGCGCTGTCAATTTCTGTTTATGCTCTCCGTTTACTAATACTGGTCATTAGTTTATATGTCAGGGTTATTAAATTATTCCTAGTGTTAATTCACATACTAATTAATTAACACATGAAGTACTTACGAATTATTTTTATCATTGCTGCAGTCGGAAAAATGAGAATAGATATGGTACGCTGTATATTTCCCACAAATTACTTCTATCCGTTCAAGATGTATGGTTAGGTCAACATTTTTAAAATCTAAGTCGGTTGTTCCTTTAACCTTTTATACCTGTTTAATTGTAAACAAGTTGATATTTGCTAGTTTTGCATTCAGCCGTTTTTATTTTCAACATTTTTTTCTGATATTCAAGGCTTAGAGTCATTTCCTCAAAGGGATATTATCGCAAAGCAGATGCGTGGTTTTAGTGGTATGATAACTGTTTATCTACGATGTACTGGGGAACAAACAAAAACGTTTATTACAAATCTGAAGGTAATTGCGTTACCGTATATGGATGATTTAATGTTCTAAAAGAGTTATGAACTCGATAGTGAGAGTCAATACAGGCGATTAAGTGGATAAAATTCATTTTTCCAAATATGTATGTGATGATTAGAAGTATTTGGAATATTATACGTACTAGGAATCCCCAAAATAGCTCAATTTAGACTAAACAGAACTTTGTGAGCACAAACGAATGTATTGTATTTGGAATTCAAAATCAGGCAGTCATCAAGTACAAAAGAATCATTAGTTAATACAAACACAACAACCGCCACAGCTTAAATTGGAATCTAAGTTTCTGCAATCAATTTTACCTTTTGTCGTTAGGTTCATCATGTATCTGTCCAACCATGTATTGGATGTAGACTATGTATGACCTATAAATTGAAACGGACTCACCTGGATCCTGGAATTGTATACAATCACCATGTTGGTTGTGTACTGAAACCACTGATATCCAGAATTTGAACCATAGACGTCCCAACACTATTCTCCCTCACGAAATAATGTTGGATCTTCATAGCCCCAAGTTATGAATAATGTGGCTTCATTTGAAACATATCTCACATTGATTAGAGGATTCATTAGAGGTGGATTCATGATAAATATAAACAACATTTGATCTGAAACCACACGAATTGTAATCAAAATCGAGCTGATTTAGCACTTGTGCTATGCAGTGAACAAGTTTCCCGCAAGAGACAGATGCAGTGTAAGGACAAATAACATTTGTTATGACATCAGGATGCAATTTTTCCGAAATATTTCCCTCAAATTTATTAAGAATTTCATTGGAGAAGTGTATCACCAGAAAAATCAGCATCTGTCAAAACTGCACCATATTTTCTATCATGATTTGATTCATTCAACACATTTCCTTCAGATTTATAGAAAATTTCATCAGAAATATGTGAATCATTGGGACAAACTGAGGTGTGCGCTACTTATATACACATAAGTACTATGTAACGGTAGTCAGTAATAGAATGTATTCCAGTAGAGAATAGAGAACGAAAGAACGGGGACGGAAAGTAATCGGTACGAAAATGCAAGAACAATGAAATCTGAGACGATGGACTGATATTTGTAAAAGAAACAGACAATTTTGAGACAATGGGTTAATATTTTGCTAATTAAGTATTTACTGTATGGTTCTCAGATTTTATTGGGATGTTCTGTAATTTCTTGTTCTAATACGTTCGGTCGTCCCACTCGTGTTCTTTGTTCACTACAAAACGATAACTGATACAAAAACATGAGAGATCTGATAAAAAGTTGATTGACTAGAAGCTTTTATCTCACAATGATTCTGATTTCGTTTGATTCTAGACTGCTTTATGACTATACTGTTTTTCGAAATCGTAGAAAAAGACAAATGATCGTTGGAAGCATTCAACTTAATAGGATTTGTATTACAAAGTTTAGCATTACTTGGAGCGAAATGAACAGTAGTATTACAAACTGACTGAATGTGTCCAATTTTACCACATGTAAAGCATTTAGCATTACGAAATACACATGAATTACATGAGAAATTTGCCACAGGAAAAACATATACCGAACCCGAACAATAAGAACTGGCAATACTGCCAGTTTAAAGCCCAAAAAAACTAAATAGAAAATAAGAGGTAAAATTACTCTTATAAAAATGAAATGAATGTACTTCACATCACTGCAAAAATTTAAAGGTTTGGTGGTTTCCGTCTGTAACTTATTTTGAACTCCCATTCAAGAAACTTTTATCCTAAACCAGATTCAGACTATTTCAGCAAATATTTCATAGATCGATGTCGCACTTTAGTCCACCACACTATAGCTTTTCGCATGATATATACTCTCATTTCTAGGTCTTAATGAAATGGTTTAATTTAAGTTATATTGTTTAGATATTTGAAGGCCATAAAGATTTATTATTCGGCTTTATTTTTTGATACCAATTTTTCCGGTTGATTATCACTTATAATCCTAACTTTTTGTTTGAAAGTTTAGATTGAGCTGAGTTTACTGATGCAAACTTTCTGATTAGAGTCTTCGAGATAAATGTAAACTACTGTTGGAGATCTTAGATGTGTTGGTTCAAAATCTGTCGCTATGGCAAAGAATCGTTGACCCGTTCATCCTAGATCTTGAATTTTACCAGCCATAATTTCCCCCTTCGTTTTTTTCAAGGTGTACCCTTCTCACCATTACCATCATTCCAACTCGTTGCTCATGTAGTTGGTTTCCTCCAATTAATCGTTAATGTAACTACGGCTTTCACATTTCTGTGCCAGGTTCTATTTTGACGGTGACTTGATGATTTCGAAGAGAGATGAACAGAGATTTGAGCAGAATTACTTATATTCACGTGATATCTATTTAAAACTTATAGCGTTTAAAAAGCAAAATCACGGAACGAGTTGAAAATCCGTGCACAAAAGAATTCGGTTTGGGAGTTCTTGTGACTGCACATCAGTATACTATAGCAGAGATATAAATATATTTGAGACTGAATAAAAATTTTGTAAATATATGTCATACGTGACAAAAAATTGTACAGCAGTTATAGTAACAGACGATCAAAAGGCTAGATATGTGCTCACGTAAGTAATGATCAAACGCAAATAATAAAAAGTGTAGTGCTCATTGAGTTAAGAAATAATACCAAAACTGAACAAAACGATATATTCAATTAGGAATATTAAAGTTTATCGAAACCATAATAAGCGATAAAATTATCTGAAATTTCCTATACATATGCTTGTATTTTTCAGCTGTTTACGTTAGCCGAAAGTTTAGGGGGTTATGAGAGCCTTATTGAAATTCCGTAAGTCCTTTGTTGAATCTTGTAAAATTTATGCTTATGTTCAGTTTGTGTGCACTTGTGAAAGCGTAATATCAAAACCATTTTTCCTTATTGCAAATAATTTCTTGCTATCGAGTTATAATGTTTAACAGTTCTCAATGTTCCAGAAATTAAATAGGATATAAGTTGATGTTGGTATTCTAATTCAATAAAAAGAGTGGTTTAGACTGCGTCGACAGTTCAGGAATTCCAGGAGAAGCTTGATCATCGATGATCGAAAACCAATAACCTTATAACGACCCTGATTAAAACATTTTACGAACACGTGTTTCCTAACTCCACATGATTCATTCATCTGTTGGATAGAATAACCTATAGAATTCCGGTGTTTTCTTAGGCGAAGTCACTGTTGTTGCTCCAGATGCACAAACTAGTTTGTTCAGAAGCTAGAATAACCTATGCAGCCTTGAAACTGTTTGTTTATTTATTTGGGGCACCGAATGCATATGCGACACACAAGTCACTTGATTTGTGTGTGGACTGAGATGCTGCCCAGGTGCCCGAGTCGGTACAGCTGGTTTCCTTAGGGGGTCACACCCGCAGGTTCGACCTAAAGATCTGATCCATAAGGCAGTGGAGCAACGTCAGGAGATACAGTCCCATGGTAGCCGGTGACCAACAATTAGTTCGTATACCATTTGTTCCCAAAGGATCCTAAAGCCCATATGCACCGTTAGTTTAGAATCTGAGTTTTCTAACTCCATTGGTGTATCATCTAAATACGCCTTCTCAGTTAAAGTGTCAGATATTCGCTTTTCGTACTCGCGTAAACAACACACCTGCATCGAGAAGGCTGTGATTAGGTATTCCCTAGCAATGGCTGTGAATGCGTGGACATGTGAGAGCATTCCGAGAGGAAGAACTACCTCTCCTCAACCTCGGTCGTACCAAGGCATTCGGAGGCTTGACACTGTACCACCTACTGAAAATAAAGGCCCATGAAATAAACCCCAAGTATGATCTAGAAAATCCTTAGGTGTTGCTCGGATATCTTCTGAGAATTTAACTGCTTACAAATTTGAACTAATTAAATATTGAGAAGTGGAAGAGTAGAAGTTGTTGGTATGAATTGTTTGGTTCACTTCCATTTGGCTTGGGGAAGTATCGCTTATGACTGTGGCATCAGTGATATATTACAAAGCAAACAATTCACTTCAACAAACCAGGTAGCTTCATTTAAACGGCACTATTATTACGCACTACAAAGTTGTTTAACCGATTGTTTTCCAATAAACATGTTATTCCCTGCTGTTAGTTCATAATTTTTTACTCTTCTTTAAACAAAACTCTAATCTACTGTATTTAGCTGTATTCCGAAAATACATATTAACCAACCAATACCCCAACCAACGTTTTTGAAAAATAAACACTAAAGCCATTCAAAACAAAGTTTTGTTAGCTCAAAATGTCATGCCATCGTTTTATTTTAAATTTATAGCACGGGAACATTAGGCATGAATGACGAGGGTATATTGGTTTTAAACATCATTTTTAATAAGATATTCAATGTTTATTGGTTCTGTTCGTAGAACAGAGCATGATAAAAAGTGATCATTTGCTAACTTCAATGGGCCATCAGTAATTTAAGACCCACATTATACTTTGTAGTATAGAAATTATAACTTACACATTTCGCGACTAACAATTGCTACCCTGACGTTATGGTTATACTCATATATTATCGTAATCTAATCTGACCAATCCAACTAATATTTGTTTTGCGACTACTATACGGAAATTTTCAGCAGGGTGGAACCCTAAAGTAGGCAACCACCATAATGCATATAGTTTTGATCTTCTTGAGACGTGCTGGGGGAAAATAATTGTAAAGTATTGTATGCACAACAAGGCGTCTTCCTCGGTTCATTAGCGCTTCTAAAGGCACTGTTTTCTCATAGTCGAAAGTAAAGGCCAGAACAAGTCAACTCTGGAAAATGTAAATCAAACTCTGCTGTGATCTTCCTTTGTAAATAGTAGTGTGTCTCAATGAGTGAATATACTCAACTGAACTCCACGACTTCAAAAAAATTCAGCCACTCTGCCTCGGCTACACCCCAACATTAATTTACATTCTGACTGTAATTTAAACTACTATGCTCCAATAATAAATTTGAACACTCATTATGGTGAAAAGAACTTTACTTACTAATAAACATGCATTTCGGGAAGGACAGAACAGTGAACTATGTAAAACGGCAACATAAAGGCATTGTTTGCGATTGTAACAAGGCGTGTTTTCCCATTTCCAGGTCCATTATGACACACGCATCAGTCCCAGAGGAGGTTCGTGAGGTCAACGGGATCACTGGGAATATGCTTCGCTTGTCAGTGGGACTAGAAGATCCGAAAGACCTATCACTCGACTTATATGAAGCTTTTGACAAATTGAACCAGAATTCCAAACCCATATAAGCTTGTCCTCTTTAATTATTGATTGACGTTTCTTCAAATAAATTCACATAATGAATACTTTACAGATTTTTATGACTATTTACTTAATACGTACACAAATATCGGGCTAAGACTGATTAGCATCAATGCTACTGGTAAAGAATCTAGTTTTAGCAATCGCATGCTCACGCACGAAAAGTCAAAACATCTCTGGATAATATACATGTTAGATAAGTACTGCATTCTAATGGACCGAATTTTATCTGTTATCATGCTGCGCAGCTCTTGGTTAGCGAGCATTCACCTAATAAGCAGCATTCTTATTGAGTTATGTCAGTGACCAGCTTCATTGTTAATTAGGCCACACTTAACTTATATCTCATTTTCCCGCTAGTGTCAGTTTGATCTTTCGTAAATGCGAACACGAGTGATTGGTCAGAGGTGTTCAAACAATTCAAAAGAAAACCTAAGCAGAATGGACACTGAGGTGTGCCATCGCTTGAACTACAAACATGGTGTCGCAATAGACCAATGGATATGAGATCTGTGGTTTTTTGTACTACTACCCGCGTTATAAAACAATAATCGCCCAACGTTTTCAACCATTGCTAATATCAGGGAACAACGGACAATATGTAAGTCACCGAGATGACATTCGTAGCACACCAAGCCACCGAGGCTAATGTATCAAGGTGGTGATACCAATTGGGTTGTCGTCACTGTGCCCAAACATTGTCGAACCTCGGCATTTCTTACGTGGTGTTATCACTGAATTTCAAAACTTTCGTAGACAACGATGACTGAACATGGAGAGCTACTCAGCGTCCTTCACTCCTAACACGTTGTACACTCGACCTTATACAGCCAGACTAATGTCAAGACAGCATCAAAGATTATCACGATTGTGATAACACACCGGTTCTGCCTATACGTAGGTCGTTTACACTACCCTTCTCACCATCGGAACTCACACGACTACCCAGACAAATGAACCTTCCGACCACTTCTGGAGGTTTACGACCAAGAGAGGGTGCAAACAGACTTATAAGACCAATTTACATGCCGTACCCACTGCTATTCATTGACAACTGGTCTCAAAGCTTATCATTTGACCGTGAGACAATATGATAGGTGTACTCAAGATCAAAGTCTGCCTCCAGATGGATGAACTACACTACCCACCCCACCAAAGCTACCTCCAGTGATGGGAAAGTTGAAAACAAACGATGGAATGGCGCGACCCCACGGCTTGGATGAGATAATGGAGACTGGCGATCACACATCCTAATTCTTCCTGAAATACACCTCTATAAGGCTCTCGGGACGTTAGTAGACTCCCCAGACACACCCACCTAATAGACGGCCCGATAGTAAAGTCCTATCCCGTAAAACGACGACGGATCCAGTGTCAAGAAATACGACGGTTGACCGCTCGCCACGAATGACTGTACCCGAGCAATCAGTGAAACGTGGTTATACGATCAATATGTCCACAACCTAGACGGGCAGTAGGCCCCACACCAGTCAGTTTTACGGGTTTTCGGCAACAAACGAAGCATGACGGAAGCCAACTGCTTGAATGTAATCAGGACGTCTTATCGCTCAATAGATGCAGCAGGCAAAACGTGAACGTTCTGAAGACAAGAACGACAATAAATCAGCATAAGTGGTTTCCCTACATAAGGTAAGAACGTTGTACGCCATCACTAGTTAGATCTTTGACGGCAGTCAGGACGGGCTACAAAGTTATAAACTGTCGAAATGCCTCTCGATCGCATTGTCGAGTGTAAAGTTCGCCACACACCCCTATGAGCTAGTAGCAGGGACTAAAGACACCAAGATTCTGTGCCACATTCTCGCTGGCGCTGACGTAGGAATAGACAGTACTCATGATACAACCAACCGGTATAACAAGGAATTTTGCACATATTCTTCGGACTTCCCAGATAGAGCTCAACGTGGCACGGGGCGCTACATGGAACTACAACTAGACACCAGTCGAAACATTCCTCCAGCTGATATTGAGTGCTCTACACCCGGCTTGAACAACGCTCGAGACCGGCCACATGGTCTGGAAATAAGGAGAATGCTTGAAGTGAGTACAAATAGACGGCCTGCTTTAGTACGTGCATTCCTCCACCGAAGTACCAGAACTGGTCACCCACCCTCGTCCTACTGTAAGCTGCATACGAGGCCCCTAGGTCATTGACACTGATCGTGCCTGATCGACAAGCCTTGGCAGTCACCACGGGGAAATCACTGTTGTGTAACGAACGACCCTACCTCACCCACAGGCTAGCTGACGCAATATTCATGACGCTTACTGTGACACCATACCCAACTACGCAAAAAATGAAGCCTGGTTGGGTCGAAATATTTGCACTTCAAGGCCTTCTGATTGAGTGACAACTACAGACAAGACAGAAGTAGAAACAGATATTTCAAGAAAACCTTTTTATTTGACTGCAAATCTGACAAATTTTAGTTGTTGCAAGTACAACCTCGAAAAACGAATACATTGACCATGCTATTGGCAAAACACAGAGCTGTCGCGTAGTTTACCAGGTCAGCTACCCGCCGACCAACAAGATACGCATTACTTTAGCATTCAAGCGACCGCTGGTAGTTCAACAAGCGGAGATACAGAATGCACTCAACCAACTATTCGAACTTACCAGTTGACGAGACACCTGAAAAGGAAAAGAAATAGCGTTTTAGAAATGGTAGAAAAACAATCAGTCCTGTTGAGCAAGATAATCACTTATCAATCATAAACATTTCATCACCTGAATTTAGCAACTCACCACTTGAATAAGGAGACTTGTGGTTACGACATATTCCGTATGATCTGAAATGCAAAAACAAACACTCATATTTGCATCTTGTTACTAGTGCATAATCAGGCCTATCATTGAAATATCATATTCATTAAGGGCTCAAACTTTCATCACATTACACAACTAGCACTTACCAAATTCAAGGAATTCACGACTGGCATTCAAAAACTGAAAGGCATCTTCACGAATATAGGGCGGTCTAAAATAGAAATAACGACAATATTAGCTGAATACCCTTGTCATATCAGATACTATCTAGTGGCATTCACTGTTTCATCCACATGTTAACATCATAACACTCCACACTAAAGCTTACCGCAAACTACCTACCCATAGAAGTCACAACGTGACATGCACGAGAGTGAGTTTGACCAAATACATCTCGGCACGTCGGCTAACAAGCTATACCTCAGCTAAACACATCCAATGCTCAATGTGTTAGTTTATTAATTGGATATTACCGAACGCACCGATCCAGGTGATTAGGCTTAGTAGGTCCAAGAACGTTCTCTCTAAAGTTGCTGGGTACCATCGCTTTTCGAAAACGAGGGAATTTACGATCGACTATTGTGACTACACTTACAATTAACCTTGGTATAGACATGACTCTAGATAGCCCTTGGCAGTCTATGAAGTTGTGGCCGGCATATATTTCAATGGATTCGATTGCATTGGCTGAAACTCACTGAAGTCTAAATCACTGAGTTAAGATAATATAACTCTCCAAAAGTGGTCAATGTCTTGATTGCTTGGGGTTGTGTTCCATAACTCAGTCTTGTGAACAGCGATGGTTAGATCACACAGTGAATAGCCATCAGGGTATATTAAGATCTCTATTTTTAAGACTTGCTACGTAGTGGAAGCATATCTCAAACCATCCGGTTACTTCTTGTGAGTAATCCAAACAGTAACTTTCTCATAGCAGCATTATAATGAATAAAGAAACGCTTGTTGCAATACAAAGGCCTCGTCAAAAAGTCCTAAACCATCCTATCATTATAGAAGTCGCCTTCCACTGTTGGTGAATTGAGACCTGGCTCGCTTACTGTATGAATAGCCAACATATGATTGATATGAGGACAAAAACGCTCCAAACATTGAGAAACCGTGACTGGGTTCCACTTAACACTTCATTATAAACATTGGATCTAAAGATGTTACAAATATTCATGGCTTGACAACGCTTTCGTTTTTAACACCTTTATAATTGAGGATCTCAATCCCAGTAAAACTAGAAGTCAAGAATCAAAGGGTACAATAATATATTTGGAAGTGAGTCGATATGCCGAGAAGCACATAATCCAAGCTGACTAGTTGTCTCGAGGAATGCGAAAAAAGGCTAACCCACTCGTAATCTGGTGCGGATGCATGACCGAGAGCATTCATCTATGCTGTATCTAGTCAAACTAATGAGGTAAGTATCAATTTCGTAGACTTGGGGAACTTCTGTTACGGATAAATCGCCGTTATCAACTCGTCCACGACAAAACGTTTGCTGGCCTCCAGAACCCAAGATAATCTCGATGCAAACAAAGGCATGATGAGATTCTATAGAAGTACTCCAGAATTCTGTAGTCGAACGAATACACAGTACTTCACTTATGGTACGGCCAGACGAATAAAAAGAAAGAAAAATATGAAAGCTGTGTTTTCAGACATTGGCAAGCTTAATACCTAATGTGCGATTATCGAGACTTATTTCATGTGAATTTTTATGCTCCTTTAAACACTTGCATACTTAGACCTGTTGCCTGTCTTGAGCGGCAGGCCGCCAACCAGGGATCTCCGGACGACCCAGTCATCGGTGCTTTCAATTAGTCTCCATTTAGTAGTCATGCCTTCATAGTTTGTTTTTAATTATTTCGCCGCATGTTCTTTGACCTGCCTTTTTTCTTTTGCCTCGAGGACTTAAAGTCAAAACTTGCAATGCTACCCAGTGTAACAGCATCCGTACAGTCTGTCCCATCCATCTCCTATGTCTTTCCGAACCTCTCCCTCAGCTGGTGACTGGTTTGTGCTCATTTGCAGCAGATTATTACTGATGGTTTCTGGCAGATGCATTTGGCTTCGAAAGACTAGAACACGGATTCGATCAGGAATGGGTTTTAAAATCATTTAGACCATCTTAGAAAGACGTGTTCGAGGGATATTGGAGTGCTGATCGAAGATTTCAGCGTGATAACT